GGACCTCACCCTTGTACCGGATCCTGCGGGCATTGGCCCCGCGGTCCTGTGCTTTGCTTTGGCCCCGGCCCATCTGGACTCAGCAGATGTTTGCTCACATGCCGCCTCAGACACGTACCAGGGCTGGCGCGGGGTAGTCAGGCTCCTGCTGGACCCCCGGCATGGGGCTGCTGTGCATCCACGCGAGAGCCGGTGCCCACGCGCAGCGGAGGCACTCAGGCGCTGCTCCCGCGTCCCATGGGGCTTGATCCCTTCCAGGCTTGAGATGCGTAACTTCGGGGTGAAGGTCAGCATGATTGAACCGGGCTACTTCAAGACGCTGATCACCAACGCTGAGAACATGGAGAATAATTTTCTTTCCATCTGGGAGAATCTTCCGAAGGAAACCAAAGCGAGTTACGGGGAGAATTACTTGAAGGAATGTAAGTACCTCACCTAAGGGTTAAGCGATGCTGTTTCTCTCCTGACACAAGACACATCCCCGGGGCCGTGGGGTGTCCCGCAGCCCCGTTGTCCCACCGAGCCCTTCGGCTTGAGGGTCTAACTCTGGCAGTCTGACTGGTGCTTTCTGCCCCCGCAGTTTTGGTAGCAGTCAAGGACATGCAGAAGAGATGCAACCCCAACCTGAGGCTGGTCACGGACTGCATGGAGCACGCACTGACCAGCCGCCATCCCCGCACCCGCTACTCGGCGGGCTGGGACGCCAAGCTGCTCTACATCCCCCTCAGCTACCTGCCCTCGGCCCTCACGGACGTCGTATTCTCCTGGTCCTACCCCAAACCTGCCCAGAAAGCCTGAGGCAGGGACACGGCGTGGGCAGCCGACGGGCAGGGGCAGCGCAGGGTGGGATCCGGCGTCGCCCGCAGCCGAGGCTGTGCCGAGAGGTTCCTGAATTTCTAACTCACTGTCCGTCTCCCAACCTGCTGTCCTCTGCTCGCAGAGTAGTTCGCTTCTGAATAAAGACAACTCCTCCTCCCCGCCTGGCAGGGTTGGTTTCAGCCTCGGCTCGGGCTGCGGCACCGAGGCCGTGTCCCCACTCCTCCAACAGCACTGGTACTGCCGGCTGTGCCATGCCGGGCTGTGCCGCAGGAGCTCCCGGGGTCTCTGGCTGTTACCCCGAGCACTTGCTCCATCCCTTTGCCCGTGTCCAGGCTCACCCCAGCGTGCAGAGCCTGTCCCAGGGTGAGGGGACAGAGTCACCGTCCCCCACCGGAGCAAATCTGGGCGAGAGGAAGCCCTGGGGCCGGGTGCTGCTGATGGTGTCTGGAGAGTTCAGCGAAATCCAGCTCTGTGGGGCAGCTGGATCCATCCTGCCCACACAAACAGCCATTAAAGGCAAAGCAGAGCTCCAGGCACATGGATCAGCGTGGGGCGAGGCAGGGAATTGCAATCGGGAGGTGCAAAACTTTCCCCGAGGTGCTGCCGCAATCTTGCCTCTCCTCCAGCCTGTCCCAGAGCAACCCTGGCACTGCCCAGGGCACAGGCTGGGGATGGTCCTCCACGCCGGCCTCTATATATACGGCATGAACACGGAGGGTGCAGAAGGCTGTTGCTGAGCCGGTGCCCGAGGATGTGGCTGGGGC